TCCTCAACCTGTAGCAGCTTTAAATTGGCACCCAGACAAACAATGTCCCTGCCCTCGGAAAAAAGAAAATGTTCATTCAAAATGTGGACCCTACTTAACCTGGCATCACAGGTAATTGTCTGTCTTTTCCATATGGATAGGCCACCCCGATCATCACAGAATCAGATACAATCAAGTATTAATAGGATGAAAGATAGTCACAGAGTATCTTCACTATCAACTTTTAAAAAGGATTGTTTTAACTCTGATTAGACCATAAAACATTCTGGAAGTTCCACTAATTGAAAAATGAACACCAATGTTTTAACTAAATAAACTGAGGCTACCAATAGCTGAGCAATGGTAGGTCAACATTTCCAAACTCCAAAGGCAGATTAAGAGTATTTCACCCCACAACTGCAGCAAAGAGCTGAAACTGCAGGATTTCCCCAACAATGCAAACTTAAAAGCAGAATGGAAAAGCAAAAGTATGGGAGGTCAAAAAAATCCTCAGTGCTTGCTTCCCAATCTTTTTTTCAACCCCCTCCCCAAGTTTTAGCATTTGAAGTGTTTATTTTTTCAGTAAGCTTACATTATCAAATCCTCCCACACACACAAATACAGGTATTTCTTTCTCCTTTATTAGTACTTTTAATCAGACATTGTTAATGAAGGCAGAATGGCTTTAAACTTAAATGTAATTTTTAATGAATGTGGAAAGGCCAAAGGTGGGGTTATAGTAATGATGGTTGGTAATATATTCTACTGTTCAATATTCTATATTCCACCATAAAGTAACACTTTAAAAAAACAATTAAAATAAACTATGGTTTCTGGAATATAAAATGAGCATTTTTACATTTTTGTAATGAAAATAAGCAATTAAACACCAGAACTATGTTATATTGCTTTTTGTCCATCAACCGCAAGAGTCTAAAGGCTTACTTTCTTGTTATTGAGCTTTCAAGCTGATGAGGTAATTCCCTTAACACTATAAACCATAGGATATCCTCCCCAGTGTTTAATGTTCTAACTTTGCAAAAGTTCATAAAAATGTTCTACTTCATACAATGGAGATAAGAAAAATAAAGTTTTGCTTTAGTCTTCAAAAGCCAGTATTTGTAATCTATGCAACGCACTTATCTGAACTGTCAAGAAAAAAACACAAACACATAGCCTAAGATTAGATTTTGTTCAAAATAATTGACACTATTAACATTTTCAAATAGGTTAAGCATTTAAGCCCAACAATAAGTCTATTTACTGGCTTACAGGACCAGGGGGGAAAAATCATTATGTGAAATTATATCTCAAGCCCATCCCACATTGATCCTTCAAATATACATCTGATTAATTTATAGATTAATCAGATGTATATTTGAATACATCTTATAGAACTTTCCTGACAGGCAGCTATTTACTTTTAATGTACCTTTTTTTACTAAAATATTTAAAAAGAGGACTACTTTATTAAAATATATATGTTGTTTGATTTCCAAGTTCTACAAATAAAGATACATGCAATTTAAGTTAAAATTGAAGAATGGGATAAATGCATAACAAAAATATCAAATATTTCAATATTTAAGTTAGATATAAAAGACTGGTTAATGTTCACATTCCATTCTGCCCTATTGGTGAGGAAAATATATGCCACATTGGTGAAGAAAATATAACGCCACCCGTTTTTTGTGAAATAGACGGCTATATAGATTTTATTAATATATAAATTAGAACACACATTGAAACCATCAGGTTACCATATTTAGAATAGTGTTTAACATATTAGTAGTTAATGTTCTCCTTTATAAGAGGTGATAGTATCTTGGTCATGCAAAGCCATTCTCAGAACAATGACTCGGAAACAACAGGATTTATTACCTACAGAGAAGGGAAAACAGTCTGAGCACAAACCACTTCAAGTTCAAAAACAAGTAAGACATTTCAACTTTCAAGCTGAAGAAGACACCCTCTTACAAAGTATTTAACAACTTGTTTGTTGTTTTGTTGACTAAAGAATGTATGCAGCACAATTATTCTGTTTCTAATAGCTGAGGCAGTAGGGCGGGGGGGGGGTTGCTTTGTTTTTTCCTTGTGCTGTGTGAGAAGCAGCGATGAGCACTTTTAGAGAGAATCAATATCTGACTTTCCAAAGAAAAACATGCAAAGAAATATTGCTAAGTGGAGAGATTGTCCATTATGACACAATTATAGACTTACCTATAGTCAAGTTGGCCAAGGGGTTGATTTGAAAGAAAACCAAGTGCATTTATTACCTTATTCTGGAAATTTATTTATCAAATTTAGCCCATCTCACTCTCATAATGCTAAATTATAAGCTAACAAATTGCCAAAGAATATATTTAGATTTTGTCAAGCATGAACTCCTCAAATAATATATAAAACATATGAGTACATTTATATAACAATTACTTTCAAAGTTCTTAAGTTTGCAAACTTTAAAATATCCCCTTGCCAATTTCACTTCAGTTTAGGTAACTGTTACCACTTAACATGGACTGTCACTCCAAATATGCTTATGGCCCTTGGCCTAAAAACAAAGGAGCAAGAAATTCAAATGGAGCTTCCATTGTTTGCTATAGCCAGAACACTTCTGAGTTTTGTTCTGGTAGCAGAAGGTACACTAGTCCCATTTAAAACTTTGGTCCTCAGAACACAGTCAACTCAAAATGTTGGCTTGTTTCACTCCAATGTCAAAACAATACACAATCCTAGTGCTTAGCTTTGAACATTGGCAGAGAAAAAAAATCACATTCTTCAGCCAAGAGTAATACATGCATAGCTCTAGAAAAATGTCTGTGACACTTTTTCTCCTTGTTCTAATAACAGGGGAATTACTATTCCAATTGTTTCAGGATACTATTTAAATAGGAAGGCGCAGGACTTTCTACATTACACTAGAAGCATGAGAAAGAGCTCACCTCCCAGACTGCTAACTAATATTAAGGTGGCCTAATTACCTTAATGTACAAGAGAATTCAAAATTTGTTCAAAACTGAAGGAAGTTAACTAATGATTTTTAATCATGTGAAGAACTGCTGTTGTAAAAATGAATATGCAAAACATGGAGAATATCAGCCAACAATTACAGAAGATGTAAAACTAAAATCTCCAGAAATTAAGGTAAGAACAATATAAAATAAAGGTAGGTCAAATGAATAAAACAGAGACCTATTCAAGCATGATTAGATTCTTATCCAATCCTCAACAATATATTTGGGGTTTTTAAATAAATGTGATATTACAATCTTCAAACATAGTTATGATTTAAAGCTTTAATACATAACTTATAATCTTAAGTGTACTGTCATTGCATATTTCCTTTAAAACTTCAAAATTTTCTAAATCCGGCCAAAGGAAAAATGTTGCATAGCTTTCTCCATAATAATTATTTGGGGGTGAGAATTATTACTATTCTATTTTACTGCAAAAAAAATCAACTAATAACTTGTGCTTATATCTAGTAGCTTTTGTTAAGTATTCTTTGTATTAAAACACTTCCATATTAACTAATATAAACACTGTTTCTTGACAATAACCTCTAAAGCGTTAACCAGCCACTGTTGATTAATTATGTTGGATGATTAGAAAATGACACTTCTTAGTGTGAAAAATAGAATATATTCAACACGCTGTCAAAACAAAGAAATTTAGCTTTTCTTTTGTCAGATTTCATTAACAAGAAGCATGAAAGTTCTGAAGCTGTTACCCTCCTTCATATAAAACTGCAATTAAAATGAAATCCTTAATCACTCTACATCTGTCAGCAATAAGATACTTCATGACAGCGCTTTAATGTAACATAATAATTCTTTAACAGAGGCAGATTCAATGAACCAGAAATCTACATAAAAGGGAAAATATATGGGATACTTTACTCTATCCCCATCTTATGGTTGCAAAAGGAACAGCCATTTTGGAAGAGATGAGATTTCTAAAAAGAGCACTAACTAAATGAAAATTACACTGGTTGTATTGTTGTCTGTATCAAAGGCATTGATCATAGTACTGATTTACAGAATTAACATATTAGATTTCATCATAGAATCATGAAGCAAAACACTATAACCTGTTTAATTAAAAAGGAACTTGGTCCAATACTTGGCATACTTTTTACTTAACCATGAAGTTGTACAAAGCCATATGGACATTTTAAAAGTGAGCGGCTTCCTTTTTCCAAAAAGAATTTATTTCTGCCTGAAGGATGTCATGGTATAGAAATTCCAAAAACTGTAAGACAGAAGACAAGACTCTTTACAGTTAGGTATAAAAAAATATACAAATTGAAGGTTCCAGTTATATTCTTCCTGTATAACATTATGCATGTAGAATTAAGATGACAGAACTGACATTTCTACTAAAAAACTGAAAAGAATAAATCTGCTTCATGCTTTTCATTTCTTTTATGATCACTAACATGAATAGGAGCCAAGGTGGCGCAGTGGTTAAAATGCAGCACTGCAGGCTACTGCTAGATCAGCAGGTCAGCGGTTCAAATCTCACCGGCTCAGGGTTGACTCAGCCTTCCATCCTTCCGAGGTGGGTAAAATGAGGACCCAGATTGTTGGGGGCAATATGCTGACTCTCTGTAAACCGCTTAGAGAGGCCTGAAAGGCCTATGAAGCGGTATATAAGTCTACTGCTATATTGCTATATTGCTATATTCTTCTTTTAATAAAATAAAAAATATATATCACTGCTGTCCCATCCAAGGAAATAATAAAACTGGGTCTGGCAAGATTGTTTATCACTTTATTTTTTTTCCGTCCAACATATAACAAAATAGCAAAATTAACATGAGAAGAATGCAGTCTATAATAGCTTTATTACTACAAATGGTAATATTTGAAATATTTTTATATTTCATTTATAATTTTGTGTTTTAAAAGTCTGTCTGCCAATGCAAGAATACAAAGTCAAATATTTCCTTAGCTGAAAGGTTATTTATTTGAAATGTGATTTAGGACCAGAAGTTTAAAAAGGTATAAACAGTAGACAACTTGCACATTAAAAATATCCTCCAAATAATAAAGTTTTGGTTTTTAAAGGTTTGCAGGAATACATACTGACTATCAGTTATGGTTATGTTTAAAGATCTCTGATAAGGAATCTTATATAATCATTATAAAAAGAAAAATATTTTATAATAAATATTAAAACTATTTCAGTCACTAAATCATTTACTAAATTTCATCAAAGACTATATTGAATTAAGATTTATTTTAAAGACATTATTTAACACAAAAAAATGAAACTATAAAACACAAATATCTAAATTCCATCATGTATAAAGACCCTGCGAATGTAATGAATTTAAGAACTCTTTCCTTTAGCCTCGACTCTTCTTTAAAATTATCTGAAAAGAAAAACACATAGATCTTTTAGATACAAAAGCTTAATGTTTCATTTAAAATTAGTCATCAACTTAATATGAAATGCTTTAGATGGTTTTTATTTGTTTCCAAATGCCTTTCATCTAAACAATGTATTATTATAATGGTCACTCTAGTAAACCAATGATCTTGTACCTACATAAATTAGACTTTTGTTTCAGTTAAGATGTGTCTTTTCATTTCTTTAAATCAGCAGTGCAAATACAGTTTAGGATTTATCGATACCTAGTAGAAAAATGTAGGACATTCAGAGTGAGGTAAATATTTCATTCCATATTCTTTTGAAAGGGGGAGTGGTGTGGGGTCTTCTAAAGAGAACCATAACTATTGTGAATATTATTCTACTGCAAATATCCCACTGGAGAAGATAGTGGCTGATTAGTTTCATATGTTCCTGGATGTACAGATTACCTGATCCAATTCATTCAACATTCAAGTTTGATTTTGGCAGTGAAACTGCTTTGATTGGCCTAAACTAAGATGACTTGCTTTGGGGGTAGTGGGAAGTGTTCATCTTCCCTAACCTTATGGCAGCTTCATATACTGTCTGGCTGAGTCAATTATGTTGGATGAACTAGGAGGAGGATACTCCCTACTGGTTTGGCCTTACAGGCTTTGTTTTGGCTTAGCAGTCATGGGATCCTGCATTTTGTTATCTTTGTTTATATTCTATACAAAGGTATCAAGTGAGTCCATCAGGGGGTTGTGTTTGGATGATCCTATAGAGCTTTATTTCTCCCATTATTAAAGTAAGGCAGTGCAGGTACAAGAGGAGTGTTTGAGTCCCGTTATTAAGACATATGGATTGGTAGCTCAGGAGCTATTAGATAGGTAATCTAACACTCTTTGGAGCCGCACCCCTTCTGAAGGAACAAGTAGACAGCCTCTGTGTATTCTTGGATTCATCTTTATCTTTTGAGGCCTAGCTGGGAAAGGTCCATGATAGTAAAACCTATGGCATACGTGCCATAAGCAGGATGCAGAGCCCTCTCTGTGGGCATGTGAGCCATAGCCCCAGCTCAGCTTCATTGTGCATGTGCACGTGCCTCCCACCGACTAACTGGTTTTCAATTTTTTGCCATGCATGCGTGGGGGGGGGGCACCTGCAGGAGACATGGTAATTAAAATATCATTGTAATGAATATTCCTTTTACTGTATTAATTTAATTATATTTTAGGACACAGAATTACTGTAAAAAGCAGTTACGTTTAATCCAATTTGCTGATTTGTGTTTTAGTAATGAGATACCTTAATTTGAACATACATGTTCTAACATAAATTTATAATATAATTATACGACTGATTATTTTCCTCACTATAATGAAGTTTGAAGAAAAATCTTCTTTATACAAGATAGTCTTATCTGAATGTTCCCTTAGACTTTAATACAATTGTATGCAGCTTTAAGATTCAAGAAAGAATTTAACTATGATTACCTTTGCAGAAGAGACCACATGTTCATATTTAATTATTTTACTCTTTTCTTCAATAGCCTGGGTCCTGGCTTCTTCTGCTAACCGAAACATGAACAATAAGAAGTTCAAATGTACCTTTTAAAGAAAAATACAAAATTCAAAATCTTTCAAAAAAAATCTCAAATACATTACAGCAAACTGGCCTATAAAATGATTTATAATACTAATTAAAGTGTTCTCAAAGTAGAATTTATCAATATATCTAAATCTAATTTAATATATTTTTTACTTCTAAGACACTGCTAACATTTCCAATCAAATGCAGAGATATACAATTCTGATAATTTTTTAAAACAGTGAAATAAATAAATTATGTTTCAAAAACATTCTTGGACATGGAAAGGCATGAATCAGTATACATCTTTCCCCCCATAATCATTTCATCTGGCAGCCACATGAGCCAAGGAAAAGATGCATCTGCTTTAAAGAATTGCAGACAAGTGATATACTTAACCCTAATTCTTAAGCATTTCTCTAAAATTAGACATGAAGTTTTATACAACCTTAATCTATTCTTTTCTCCCATTTTTTAACCTTACAGTTAATGTTGATGCCTGGTAATTACCTAGGTAAGTCCCTGCAATTTTCTAGGCAAGATTTCAGAAGTGAGTCTCCCTTGCCTGCTTACTAGGGCTAAGAGAGAGGGTGTGGGTCAAGGTCCCCCAACTGCCTTCATGTCTGAAGGAGACCTAGAACTCAAGTCTCCCTAAACCCAATTAGCTCTTTCCTCCAATAATCTACCTTAAAAATGGGATTCAGATCAGGTGCAGAGGTAGAGTTTGTAGAGCCAAGGTGGCGCAGTGGTTAAATGCAGCACTGCAGGCTACTGCTAGATCAGCAGTTCAGCGGTTCAAATCTCACCGGCTCAGGGTTGACTCA